TGGGTGTATTAATTTTTTGATATGGTGTTGGATTCTGTTGGCTAGGATTTTGTTAAAAATTTTTGCATCTATGTTTATGAGGGATATTGGTCTGTAGTTTTTCTTTCTAGCGGTGTCTTTCCCTGGTTTTGGTATTAGTGTTATGCTTGCTTCATAAAATGAGTTTGGGAGTATTCCATCTTTTTCTATGCTCTGGAATAGCTTGAATAGCATAGGTGTCAGCTCTTCTCTGAATATCTGCTAAAATTATCCAGTGAAGACATCAGGGCCAGGGCTTTTCTTTGTGGGAAGTTTTTTTTTTTTTTTAATGACCTGTTCAATTTCTTCTTTTGTTATAGGTCTGTTCAAACTTTCTATCCCCGAGTGGGATAGTTTAGGTAGGTCTTGTGATTCTAGAAACTTGTCCATCTCTTCTAGGTTCTCAGATCTGTTGGAGGACAGTTTTTCATAATATTCTGTCAATATCTTTTTTATTTCATTCGGTTCTGTTGTGATGACACTCTTTTCATTTACAATTCTTGTAATTTGGATCTTCTCTTTCTTTTCTTTTGTTAGATCTGCCAATGTTATCTATTTTATTAATCGTTTTGAAGAACCAGCTTTCTGTTTTGTTGATTTTCTCTATGGTGTTTTTGTTTTCTGTCTCATTTATTTCTGCTCTGATCTTTATTATTTCCTTGCTTCTAGATACTGTTGGATTCTTTTGTTGTTCTATTTCTAGTTGTTGGAGTTGATGAGTTAAGAGTGTTGATTTTCTTTCTTTCCTCTTTTTGGATGTATGCATTTATTGCTATAAACTGTCCTCTGAGTACTGCTATTGCTGTGTCCCATAGGTTTTGGTATGATGTATCTTCATTGTCATTTGTTTCTAATAGCTTTTCTTACTTCAGTTTTTATATGTTCTATTACCCAGTAGTGTTTGAGCAGTGAGTTGTTCGGCTTCCATATGGTTTATGCTTTTTCCTTGCTCTTCCTATTATTAATTTCTAATTTTATAGCATTGTGGTCCAAGAAGATGCCTTGTAATATTTCAATGCTTTTGAACTTATTGAGGCTTGTTTTGTGTCCTGACATATGGTCTATTCTGGAGAAGGATCCATGTGCACTGGAGAAGAATGTGAATTGTGCTTTTGTTGGGTGAAATCTTTGTATATGTCTATAAGGTCAAGTTGGTTGATTGTATTGTGGAGCTCTTCTGTATCTTCATTTAGTTTTTTTCTAGTTGATTTGTTCCTCTTTGAAAGTGGTGTGTTAAAATCTCCTACTACTATTGTAGAGTTGTCTATTATCCCTTTTAATTCAGTTAATATTTGCTTCATGTATTTTGGAGAACTTTCATTGGGTGCATAAATATTTATTATTGTAATGTCTTCTTTGTCAATTGACCCTTTCAGCATCATATAATGTCCTTCTTTGTCTCTTGTGATATTTTTCACCTTAATGTCTATTTTATCAGAAATTAATATTGCCACTCCTGCTCTTTTTTGGTTTCAATTGGCTTGGTATATATATATTTTCCATCCTTTAACTCTTTATTTGTTTTTATCTTTGTGTCTAAGGTGGGTCTCTTGTAGGCAGCATATCTATGGGTCTTCTTTTCTTATCCATTCTGCCACTCTCTTTTTCTGGATAGGTGTATTTAGTCCATTCATATTGAGTGTAATCTGTGATAGGTATGAATTGATTGCTATCATTCTACTGTGTTATTTTGTCGTGTTGTTGGTGTTTCCTTGGTCCATATACTTTTCTGTGCTGAGTTCGGTTTGTTGGCTAATGCTTTCTCCCTTTTCTTCTTTATTGTTGGTTTTGTGTTGTTTTCCTTCCTTCTGGATTTACTTAAGGAGATTGTTACTTTTCTCTGTGGTTACCATGGAGTACATTCCTGTCTCTGCATTTTTAGAACAGTGCATACTGTGAAGACATTGTCCTGTTTCCCTCTCCATTTGTAAGTTGGTACCTAGAAGTTTTATTCCTTCTGATAGGTTAGTTTCTGTTGTTGTGTGCTGATTGACTTCTTTGATTTTTAGTGTACAATGTTTTATGGTCTTATTTTGAGTTTCTATTTCTGATTGGGTTTTAGTGTTAACACCATGTATCCTGGTTCTGTTGATCTCCGTTGTGGGTTCTCTATTGGAAGGACTTCCTTAAGCATTTCTTGTAGGGTTAGTCTGGTTTTCACAAAATCCCTTAATTTCTGTTTGTCTGAGAATGCCTTGATTTTGCCCTCATATTTGATGGATAATTTGGCTGGTTATAGGATTCTTGGTTGGAAGTTCTTTTCCTTCAGTGTTTTATATATGCCGTCCCATTTCCTTCTTGCCTGCGTGGTTTCTGCTGAGTAATCAGAGCTCAGCCTGTTTGATTATTATAAGTAATATTTCTTTTGTCCCAAGCAGCTCTCAAAATGTTTTGTCTTTGGTTTTAGAGAGTTTGATTATAATATGCCTCAGTGTTTTTCTCTTGGGATCTATCTTGTGTGGGGTTCTGTGAGATTCTTGGACATATATCTTTTCTTCTTTCATGATATGGGGGAAGTTTTCTGTTAGCAGGTCTTCCACAATTTTCTCAGTGTTTTTTTTTCGCCTCTTCTTGTTCTGGAATTCCAATCAGTTGTATGTTGTTTCTTCTCATGTCATCCCATATAATTCTTAGGTCTCTTCATTTCTCTTAAATCTTTGTTCTGATTTTTATTCATAAAGGCTGGTGTCCAGGGATTTGTCTTCTAGTTGGGATATGCATTCTTCAGCCAGTTCTAACCTACTCTTTTGTGCTTCTACTGTGTTGTGTAATTCTGTAATTTTGGTATTCATCTTCTGGATTTCTAACTGCTGTTTTTGTATGAGTTCTGATTGTGCATTAATCTTGTTATTTTGTTCTTGAATGATTTTCCTGAGTTCTTCCAGGGAACTGTTTGTGTTCTCCTTGCTTCTGTTTGGGGTTTCCTTAGGCTCTTGGAAAGCTCTATAAACACACCTTCCAAATTCTTTCTCAGATAATTCTATTGCCTCCTCTTCTTCCATGTTTAATGAAACCTATGTTTGTGGTTTTGCTTCTAATGCCTTGTCCTGTTTTTTTGTTTGATTTGAGGTTGCCTGTTGTTTCCTAGACATTTTGAGGTTGTCTGTATTACTGGTTATGCATTGATTTGTTTTGTCTTGGTTTTATGGTTTAATATTTTGAAAAGGCAAAGCTGGTGTATTTTTTCAGTTATTAATTCAGGTATGCTGGGTTGCTCTGCAGTTTTCTTTGTGATGGTGGAATCACTGTGTGGAATGTGGATAGAGTTTCTTTTTGTCATAAAGAGGGTTTAGAGTTTGAATCGGGAGGTATTATGGTGGCTGAATGTGGTTTCTTCTATTGAATGAGTGAAGTTATTGCTGAGAAGATGGGAGTGGAAGATCAGGAGAAGGGAAGTTCCCCATTGGTAGGGGCGGTTTCTAGGGCTTTGAGTGGGTTGCTAATAATCACACTGTACTGTTATTCACAGGCCCACAGCTCAATTTCAGCAAAGACTCCAGTTGTTAGGGGGTCGCCACCTTCCCCAGGCTCAGATACACACAAAAACCCCGCTCCCAAGGCCCCTCGGCTCAAAAAAGCCAACCCAAGACAATTGCTCGGCTCCGCAATTTGCCGTGGGGGCTCCTCTCCCTGGGCCCACCTGCCCGCGGCACTGGCTCAACCGGCCCAGACCGCGATCTGCCACGGAAGCTCCCCTGTGGGTCCGCTCACCCACGGTGCCAAAGATCTGCTTCATTTCACTGGCACTGGAGTCAGGAGAGTGCCTGCTAGTAATCTGTGGTCCCAATATTACTGATAAAGTCAAGCACAGGCCTCTCAGCGCCACTAAGCTGACCCAAGCCTGACTGGTGACCTGCTGCAGGGGCACCTTCCCAGGCCTGCCCTCCTGCAGCACCAATGGACTCTCTACTCGGGTTTCAGTGGCATTGGACATGGCCATTTGCACCTAGCCAACCCAAGTTACTGATAAAATCAGGTGCTGAAGGTAGATCCCCGGGGTGATTGCTGATATGCTGGTGTGGTTGCTGGTATGCTGGTGTGGTGTGTCTTCCTCCTTAACCCAGAGAGGCCTTGGATGGCCTTTCTTGCCTACCGGTTGGCGCTGCACAGGATAGATCCTCTGATCTTGTTACTTTTTCCCCACCTGTCCCTTTCTCCTTTCTAATTCTGCTCCTCTTGAGTTTGGTGCACTCTGACTCAGTGAGCTGTTCAGAGCACCAGGATCCCTAATTCAAACTGCTGTACCTAGTTTTTCAAGCACTAAGATGCTAGAGGGAAACAGCATGGTGATCACTGATGAGACTCCATTTTTTGCTCACATTAGTATTTAGGCCAACATTTCTTAGTGTTAGTTATTTTGATTATTTTAAAAAAATGAGAGAATCAGGATCATCAGTATGAAGTGTCCCATATACTTCATAGTGTACGGACAATAGGGAAGTACAGCATCTACCTTAATCAAATCTCTTTGCTGTCTCTGCCTACTCCATTAGACTATAAGCTTGTTGAAGGTAAGGAATGGGTCATATTCATATGTGACACTTCAGTGCTTAGCATAGTGCCTGGCCTCTAGAAAGTATTTAAAAAATGTTTACATAATGAACTGGCACACTCAAAATGGAGACAGGATTACACTTATCAAGTTCTACTCAATCAATTATATATACTTTTGTTTAGATGAGGTTGTATAGGCAGGATTAAGAGACTTCCAGAGTCAGACAAACTTGAATTTTGGATTCCATTGCTGGTAGCTGTGTGGCTTAGGACCATAACCACTCTAAGCTCCAGTTTATTCTTCTAGAAAATGGGGATAATAACAACTTCTTCATAGGTTGTTATGAGGGTAAAATGAGATCATTCCTATATAACAACCAATACAATGTCTCAAACAAAGTAATTGCTCAAAAAACAAAAAGTGCCACAGGCTGTTTCTCTGAAATATTAAAAAATAGACCGAAAATGCAAAAACATAGAATAGTCACCTTGCTTGCCACATCTCTTCATTGGCCACAGATTCCCAAGAAGATGGATCAAACCTGTAATTGTACAAAAATATATTTTTTTAATGGGCATGCAATCCCTGTTTTATAATCTTATAAGGCCAATACAATAGGCAGGATCTTGAAGTACTGACAGGGAACTCAATCATGTTAGTAACTTTGGGTTCTGGTAAATGTGTACTTAATCTGAGTAAGAAGCCCCAGTGCCTCATGGGAGCAAATGAAGTAGACTGTTTATGGAAATAGGCTGGTGGCATTTGGGAAGTCTAATCTCCTAGAAACCATTGGAAGGGCAGAGGTGAGTCACCCTATGGGCACAGCTAAGACCCATAGAGCTGTGAACCAAAGGAATGAAACTAAAAAGAGGGGCTGCCTGCCTCAATCATTGCTGGAGCTATGATGCTGCTGAAAGAACACTAGGCAAAACATTTGCCAATTCTTCTTTCTCATCTTTACATTTTGTCTTAACAGAATGAAGACAATGAATGCTGATGTATACCTGTACTGTCTTTAGCTGTTTAAAGAGTGTTATTTTCTAACTTTTCCTCCTGATGGTTCCCAGAGTGCTTTGCTTCAGACCTTGCTATCTATCTCTGGCTGCTATACAACGATGTGCTTTGTTAGCTAATGGTGAACCAAAAAATCTTAGCATTTTTTTTTTCATATGAACTGTCGTTCTTGAATTATAAGCAGTAAGTCAGAAAATCTTTCAATAATTCATAATTTTAAAAATAGGCAATGGAAGCAATTTTCCTTAGATGGTAACTCATTTTTCAGATGAGAAAAAGAAACACTATGTAGAAATGCTTAATGGAAGACAAAATATGCTCAAAACAATATAACTGGCCTCAGACAAAGCAACTATGAAGAAAAAGTTACTCCTACAAAGAAGCTATCTGCCATATATGAAGAAAGGAAAATGTGACAAGTTTATGCATGTAGGAACTACCATGGTCAAGAGAGTGCCTTTTAAAGACCAATTGGAGTTAATGAATCTCTTCCACTTTTAGGGTAATGAGTACAGGATGGAGGCCACTATAGCATGGAAGAGCTGGAAGTGGAAGATATGATGCCATGGCATCTAAAGACGGGTGTCCACTCAACCACAGCCTCCCTTTCCCTTCTGTCTCCCACTGTCCTTCAAACAGAAGGATAAGAAAGGCAGGCTCTCTTTCTATAAAATTCTAAGAACTAGTTCAGTCACAACTAGTAGCTGGATGAGCTACTTCCTGAAGTCTCCAGGGACTAGCAGCCCACCACTGGGCCTTGTAAGAGTAAAGCTGTTACATCTAGGACAGTGGCTGGTTTGTGAATACTCTTGAGCTTTACCAGCAGAGCACAACCAGTACAGTTAAAAAATGACTGTAGAGGCTGTGAGACCTGCATTAACATGTATTATGACACTTTGTGGGCAGCAAGTAATAATACTAGCAATTAATTAAAAAAGTAAAATGAAAAGGCATCTCAAAATTTAGTGAAGTTTCTTGAGGCACACAAAACTACCGTTCTCTGATTAAAAATATAACTGATGTTCATACCGTTCATATTCTTCAGTCCAGTTATAGATATTTCTTGTAAGTTTAATCCACTGCTCAGGGTTGAACACAATCTCCGAAGGAACTAATTTGTCACAAGAGCCCCATGGCCAAAGTGAATAGTTCTTTTTCCAGGTGGGGTCACCTTCATGAATTCCTATGCAAACAAATGTTTCTTTTCTATTGAAGACAAAAATATATGATGTACTTTTAATTTAAAGTTCTAAATGTGCAGTAAATATAACTGAAGATAGATTTTGTGCATGCATGATTTGGGTGCAATTATACAGAGCAAAGTCATTTTCTAGGCAACAATTCATGCCCAATTATTATAAAAAATCAAGGAAAGGTCTACACAAGGAAGAAAATTTTCTCTGTTGGGTACCAGGAATGGGAGGGAAGGGGAAAGGAGGAAAAGCCCACGGGTAATTAAGAGGCAGGTTTGATATGGGTATAGGGGTTTAAAAAGTAAAGGAAAACAAAACAAAAACAATTCATTCATAATGGTAAACAAGGCGCTTACCATTTGCCTTTACCCTTCTTCCCCACCCCTCCTGCCTTCTGAGCTTCACCCCTGGCCAAAGGCTGCCCTTTCCATCTCCTGCGGTTGACTGTTCTGAGTGCAGACCTCCCAGGAATTACTGATGGCAGATCATTTCAAGTCCTTAAACTTTGGTTACCAATAAACTACCTGTGAACATTTTGGGTTTTTTGAAATTTGTAAAAAAAAACTGTTTCTGTGGGGTGGAAGGAAGCAGACAGACACAGACCATAAAACCTAAGTGTTACCAACAGTTTAAGAATTCACTTGGAGACAGCATTCTTACAAGGAAAACTCTGGTGGCACTGTTTTATGTATAAACATAAATATTTTTGCTACCTTTTAAAAGTTTCCAGGTGGAACTATGTCTTCCTTTGTGTTCCTATTGACAAGCAGTCTCTCCCTCTGCAAACTCCCACTGCACTTAGTTTCTGTTATTCTTTCCTCATTATTGTATTATTCTTACTCTTTGCATTTGTAATCCCCATGGCTAGTCCAGAAGCATCCTAAGGACAGGTTGTCTATGCCTAAATAAACTCTGAATCTCACACAGCGTGGTGCATACCTAGTACACAATAAATATTTGATGAAATTAATTAAATGTGAATGACTATTAGAAGCTTCAAATCCCACAACAATTATTACTAGAAATAGTTTAAATGGCCTTGAAAACCCAAACCAAACCCACTGCCATCGTATTGATTCTGACTCACAGCAACCCCCATTAGGCTTCCAAGGTGTTAAATCTTTACAGAGGAAGATTGCCCCATTTTCCTTCCATGGAGCGACTGGTTGGTTTGAACCACCAACCTTCTGGTTAGCAGTCAAACGTCAGGCACTGCGCCAACAGAGCTACTTAAATGGCCATGGTTAAAAAAAAATTCATAATGAATAGTTCTATTCCAGTTTTTGCTTTATACCTCTGGTAGCATAGTGCCTAAGGCACTTGACTGCTAATCAGAAGGCTGGCGGTTCAAACCCACCAGCCACTCTTCGGAAGGAAGGTTGGGCAATTCTACTTCCGTAGTGATACTGCCTCGGAAACCCAAGGAGGGGTCGCTATGAGTCGGGGCCGACTCGACGGCAAATAACAACAACAACAACAACAAGCAGAGAGGAAAAAAAAAAAAGGATATATTAACAGGATCTCTTAAAAGTAAAAGCTTTATGAACTTTGAAACAAGACACTTCCAGAAACACGACAATTCTGGCTTAGAATTTTTTTCTCTACCGTTTATTACCTCTGTGATTTTGGGGGAAATGATTTAACTACCCGTGTCTATCTCCGTGTCTGTGAAATGGGTATTACAACTTTCAGAGATATTTAGGGTATAAAGTACATTCTTAAAACATTAATAGGGCTCTAGTTCTGGGGGAGATGGAGGAAAATACATGCTACTCTGTCTATCCCACTGGACAGAACACATGGAGCTGAGGACTCTGAAAATAAATGGCAGAAAGAAAACTAGGGAAGGAGACAGAATTCAAAGTTTCATCAAACCAGTAATGAATTTACTATTTTTTCCCCTTCAGTGTTGCCTGACCTGGATTTAAAGGCATGTTGAGACCCAGAAGTGTGTACCAGTTGAGGACAGAAAGAACACCAAGAAAAGCCCTTTCTTTCTAGCCCAAGGAGCAGGGAAGGGAACTTCTAAGGGTCAGAGAGAAAGTGTGGAAGAAATCCCCAGGGTTTTGTCCCCTCCTCTCCTTTCCTCGGCACCAGGCAATGCTGTGGCATTTCTGGAGTCAACAGCATAGAGAGGGCAGAGAAAGCTGGGCTGGTGCCAAAAAGTCTGAAGGAGGGGAACCCTCTTTACTGACCAAGAAAGCTAGGTGAGTTTAGCAATGTTGCAAGATATAAGGTTTGCACACAAAAATCAATTATATTTCTATATAGCAGCAATGAACAGCTGGAAATGGAAATTAAAAAAAAAAACAAAAACAAAAAACCAGCATTACAACAGCACCCGAAATCAAATATTTATATGTAAATCTAACAAAATGTGTAGGGTCTGCATGCTGAAGATTCAAAACGTGGATGAAAGAAAGTAAACAAGGCCTAAGTGAATGAAGAGACATACCATGCATGCATATGGCTTGAAAGATTCAATATCATGAAGTTGTTAATTTCTCCGAAATTGGTCTACAGACTTGAGCAATCCCAATTAAAAATCTTAGGATTTTTTTTGTAGCTACAAAGACAGGTGCAAATGAAGTTCAATTGAAAGAGGATAATCTTTTCAACAAATGATGTTAGCACAATTTGATATCCATGTTAAAAAAAATTAAAATTAAAAATGACCTACATCCTAAATCTTATACCTAACAAGAATTAACTGAAAACTGATCTTAGATATAAAATGTAAAACATAAACCTATAAAACTTTCAGTGACATGGGGATAGGCAATGAGTTTTTAGATAAGACACCTAAAGCATGGTCCATTAAAAAAAAAAAGGTAAAAGATTTTTGCTCTGTAAAAGACACTCTTAAGAGAATAAAAAGATGAATTATAGGCTGGGAGAAAAGAATCACAAATCATATTTGACAAAAGATTTGCATCTAGAATATTAAAAGAAACCACAAAACTCAACAATAGTAAACATCTTGTCAATTGCACTCCTAAGTATGAAAATTTGTATTTGTACATGAATATTTATAGCAGCTCTATTCATAATGGCCCCAAACTGGAAACCACCCAAATGTTCTTCAACAGGTGAATGGATAAACAACCTGTGGAACACCCATACAAAGGAATACTACTAAGCAACAAAAAGGAACAAACTACTGATACATACAACAACTTGGTTGGATCTCAAAGGCACTACAGGTGCTTAATAAATATTAGCTCCTTTCCCTCTATAAGAAAGCTCCTGGGTGGCACAAACTGTTAAATGCTCAACTACTAGCCGAACAATTGACAGTTTGAACCCACCCAGAGGTACCCTGGAAGGCAGGCCTAGCAATCTACTTCTGAAAGGTCACAGCCTTTGAAAACCCTACGGAGCAATTCTACTCTGCAAACATGGAGTCAGGTGAGTAGGAATCAACTTAACAACAGCAGCAACGTTTTAAAAGTATCCACTTAAGAGGGCTTTCATTTGATGCTCCTGAACTGATGCTGTGGGTGAAAATACCCTGAAAAACCTTTAACCCATTCATGCCCTTTAAGTCAATAATTTTACTTCTGAGAATCTATTCAATCCTAATGATTCACAATTCTACCTCCTACACATACACAAACTACATACACAAAGGCACTTTTTGTGGCTTATAATTTTAATATAGTTCAAAATTAGATGATACATTAAAAAGTCACTAATAATTCCATTAATCTATTATTAAAGTTTAGTATACATGCCTACTAAAAATATTTATAATGAGTTTGTAAAAACATAAGAAAATGGTTATATCACACTGAATGGAAAAAAATACAACTCCTATTATGCTTTCAATTTTGTAAAAATTGTAATTTTTAATATGTTGGTTGTTTCTGAGTGACAGGATCAAATGTGATTTTTTAAAACTTTTTCTAATTCCTACTTCCGTAGTAATACCGCCTTAGAAAACCAAGGAGGGGTCGCTATGAGTCAGATCTGACTCGACGGCAGTGACTTTGGTTTTTTCGTTTGTATGTTTTATAAAATATTTATATTTTGAGGACTTTCAGAGTCAAAAATGTTAATGAAAATTTACGTGTCAGAATATCCAGTATCGTAACAAAAGTCTGGAAACAATGAGAATGTCCAAATATAGTGCACTTGTTAAATTATCACGTATCCACGTAAGTATATTATACAGTGAAAAAATGATAGTTTTGAAGATACTTTATTAATCATATGGGGGAATGCTCATGTTATAATGTTATTTTTAAAAAAATGGGTAGAAAACTAAACCCTCCAGCTATGTAAACACAGTATGCCTCTGTGGCTGTGGGTGTGTGTATAAACATCTAGCCCCCTGGGTTACACAAGCAGTGTGCACTGGACTACTAGCCTAAAGGTTGGTGGTTTGAATGCACCAAGTGCCTCCACAGAAGAAAGCCCTGGTGATTTGTTTTCATTAAGATTATAGCCAGCATTACTGAATGCTTTGATCTAAGATTGTACAGAACAATCCTGACCGAAAGGGGGGAAATGAGGAACAGTTTCAAATCCGCACAGAATCCACACTCTCTGGTGCCATTGAGGCGGGACGATCCCATGAAACTACTGCCCTGAGGAAATCTTTAAACCTTCAACAGAAATTATCCCCTGAAGACATTTTTAAACTGAAGGGTAGTTTAGCATAATTACAAAAGACTGTTTGCCTTGAGTATTACACTCTTCTAAAGAATCATCTATATCTGATCAAATTGACAACAGCAACTCAAAAGGTTACATGATTAGTTTAGGGAGCAGAGAGTTTGTGTTAATGATGGTGAAATAATCTAGAAAAGGTGACACAACTTAAAATTTAAATAAATTAATGTATACAAATTTAAAATTTAAGGAACGCAACCTATGTCACTGACTTGTACATGCAGAAGTTGTTGAAATAGCATATGTTTTGTTGTGTGTATTTTCATCAAAAAAAAAAAAAAAAAGATTACAGCCAAGAAAACCCTATGGAGCAGTTCTATTTTGTGACACATGGAGTTACTATAGTAGGAATCAACCAGACAGTAATGGGGTTTGGTATAAATATATAATTTACATTAAAAATGAATAGAACAGAAAAATGTTTATCAGAATGTTAACAATTGATTTACCTGAAAGACAGATAATACTGACCTTCTTCACACTTTTCTGTACTGTCTACATTTTCCACCATGAGCATAAAGTATTTCCATAATGAGGAATCCCAGGCCTCACAGTCTGTGCCCCACCATCCCTCCAGATTCATCCCCTCATCTAGCCCTCCAAGCCCACAGCTCCAAACATACTGAGCTCCTCAGGTCCTGCAGAGCTCAGCGGGCCTTTCTTCTGACTTTGCATATGCCAGAACCAAAAACCAACCCACTGCCATCAAGCCAATTCCGACTCATAGTGACTGAATCAGACTTCTGCCACCCACTTGACAATTTCCTATGTAGCCTTAAAGACTCAGTTTAAGTGTCCAGTATTTTGTGCACACTTACACTATCACACTTGCCAGATGATATTATAATTTATCTGCTTCATATTTAAAACAGCACCTGAATCCCTCCCTGAAAGACTGCAACAGCAAGGATAATGCCTCATTTATCTTCAGCTAGTACACTTCTTGGAACATTTTATACACACAAAATTTATTAAATAAATGTTGAATGAATGCCCCCAAGCAGAATTAACTGCTTTCTCATACATGCTCCCAGACACTCAATTTATACTATCAGTTAAATTATCCATTCGGTACATATAATTAAGCATTTACTATGATGTTTATTCAAGGCAAGTTTAGAGGTTATTCCATGATATTATGATTACTTGGATTCATATCTGTATATATATACAACTAGATTATAGTCTACTTGAATTGGGAGTGAGTGCCATTCATTTTTTTATTGCCAGGCCCTAATACAAGTTTGGGAGCTCTGGTAGTGTAGTGCCTAAGGCACTTAACTGCTAACCAGAAGGCTGGTGGTTCAAACCCACCAGCCACTCCTTGGAACAAAGGTTGGGCAATCTACTTCCATAGTGATACTGCATCAGAAACCCAAGGAGGGGTCACTATGAGTCGAATCCAACTCGACAGCAGTGAGTTTGGTTTTTTTGTTTTAGCCTCCAAGGAATGGACTGCAATGATGGGCTCAAAGACACCAATGACTGCGAGGATGGTGCAGGACCAGGTTTTATTCTGTTATACGTAGGGCATCATGACAGAGCCAACTGGATGGCAACTATTAACAATAAGCACAGTTATACCCATTACCCACATAAGTATTTGTAGATTTCTACACAAATATCATGTGTGTTATATTTTTGCCAACTGTGCAACCTCCTTGCACATTATTTTCCTAGGTGAACATCATAAGTATGGGTGCACTATTTACATGGGTGCTCTGGTAGCGTAGTGTCTAAGGCACTTGACTGCTAACCAGGAGGCTGGAGGTTCAAGCCCACCAACTCCTCAGAAGGAAGGTTGGGCAATCTACTTCCATAGAGATACCCCCTCAGAAATCCAAGGAGGGGTCACTATGAGTCAAATCAACTCGATGGCACTGAGGTTGAGGTTCTTATTTGCAAAAAATACAGTAGTCACGAGTCACATCTGAACACTGAAAGTACCACATTATGATGCTCTTAACAGGGGATAACGTAACTTTGGAGTTTACAAAAATTTCTGAAGTTTCCTTTATGAGACAATAGAAATAATGAAATAGATCTTTCTTCTTCAAGCTCTAGACAATTGCAAATATTTCAGAGACAAGAGAAATGTCCAACATTATTCTATTGAAGGAGATTTTTATTCTTGACTTTAACTACAAATAATTTTGTGTTCTCAAGTATAGAATTCATAGTTCTCATATTCTATCTCAGCCAGCCTAACTGTGGTTGTTTTTCTTATTTATAAAAATGTCTTATCTTTTATAGATATATTAAAAAAAAAACTTAGGCTATTTTTATATAGTGATTATTCCTGGAAAACATTTGCTTTGCACTTAAAAGTGGGCCCTGGTGTTCATCTGGGGAAACTATAATTGCTTGTGATCCATCTGCAGTGATTTCAAGGAGGTAGGCACAGCTCTGATTTCTCTGAATTGTACTAAGATCTTATTTGCTGTTCTTGCTAATCTGTCTTTATTTTTCCTTTACCCAGAACAATAACATTTATTTCTGCCTGGTCTCATTTATGTGCACATATTCAATTTAATTACAAAGATAATCTCACCGGTGACAGGGAAATAGGTGTAGAAAATTGGTCTTTTGGATGAGGCACAGCTGCTACATAAACAATTTTAGAAAAGCTTAAGATTTTAGAAAAGCTATTATATGAAAATAATGCTTACTGTTTATTTATTTCAAGAAAATGATAAAGATTAAATGTGACCATCCCACTGGGTAATATTCCTTCCACAGGATTCCACCGATTCCCAGGAAAGTTGACACCTGGTAAATGCTTTGCCATCTTGGGCAAATACCACTCATAAGTCATCATCTGGCAGAAAGATCACAAATAACGTCACACTTTTAATATATTTCTTAAAAGAATCAAGTTTATCAAGTACAATATAAAGATTTCAAAATGTAAATACGTTCATTGAATAGATGCATAGTACAAAAAAAATACACATACAAGCATAACCTATGTATGTGGTACTGATTATTTTCCTTATGACTTGGATTTTATATTTTAAGGTATGATGAGCTCTGGTAGTGTAGTGCCTAAGGCACTTGGCTGCTAACCAGAAGGCTGGCGGTTCAAACCCATTGGCCACTCCTCAGAAGGAAGGTTGGGCCATTTACTTCCGTAGTGATACTGCCTGAAACCCAAGGAGGGGTCACTATGAGTCAGGTTCGACTCGATGGCAAATAACAACAACAACAACAACAACAACAACCATCGATTACATCAGCACGTTGTTTCATTTATCTCCATGCATTTGGCTAAATACTCAGAATGACCCTTCCCCATTTTCACACCTACAGAACGCATACTCAACTTTCATCACTTCCTCTGTTTCCACACCAGGATGATATGCTCCTGTAGCATTTTGTACCTGCCTCTATTATAATGCTTGGCCTATTCCTCACTAGACAATGAACTGCTAGAGGGAAGGGACTGTATCATCTTTATGCCTCTGCACCTAGCACACTGCCTGGCATGGAACAGTCTCAAAATTAGTTTGCTAAAGTTGAAATTTTTTTGATAGTCAGGCTAGACAACCTAGACAAAATATAAAGATGTAACATTACTCCATTCTTTCATTCATTCAAAAAACAAGTACTGCTCACCTATAACGACTAAAACGTAATCCCTGCCCTTGAGAAGCTTAAACATATAATAATCCAGGTTACAAACTTAGAAGTCCTTTTGCTAATTTATCTATATTTATTTTGTTGTTAGTTCCTGTTGGGTCTATTCCAACTTGTAGCCCCAAATTAATTACATGTTCCTGTATCTGTAGTCCTAATGGCATCTTGAGGATGAAGGTGTGCCAGACCCAAGCCATAATATTTCCAGCTGCCTCACTTGCATGCAAAAGAGGGACAATGAATAAGGAAGAGTGAAGAAGAACTGATGCATTTGCATTAAGATGTTGAGGAAGAATACTGACCATACCATGGACTGTCAGAAGAACGAATAAATCTGTGTTGGAAGAAGTTCAGCCAGAATGCTCCGTAAAGGGAAGATGGCAAGACTTTGTCTCACGTCCTTTGGACATATCATCAGGAGGGACTAGACCCTGGAGAAAGACATCATGCTCGGTAAAGTAGAGGGTGAGTGAAGAAGAGGAAGACTCAATGGGATGGATTGACACAACGGTTGTAGCAATGGGCTCAAACACAGCAACAATTGTGAGGATGGCACAGGCTGGGCAGTGTTTCGTTCTGCAGTTCATAGGGCTGCTATGAGTTGGAAGCATCTCGACAGCATCTAACAACAACAACAACAACCTTACATCTTCCTTTAAGGCGCCCTGGTGGGGCACTGGTTAATTGCTCAGCTGGCTGTTAACCAAAAGATCAGAGGTTTGAACCCATCAGCTGCTCTGCAGGAGAAAAGGCTTGGTGATCTGCTCCTGTAAAGACTAAAGCCTAGGAGAGTCTATGGGGCAGCTCTACTCTGCCCTACGGAGTCTCTACGATTTGGAATTGACTCAATGGCACACAACAACCACCATATTTTCCTTTGATTAAAATAAATCATTTATACCAGAAAGATATCTCTGAAATAACAATTCTATACTTTTATATGTACAGATCTCTTCTTTTTAAAGTAAAGATTCCTATTTACACTTTCAAAGCTTTGTTACAATTTGGAGATCATCATCTGAACAATTATGTTCATGTTTTGCTAATGGCAAGTTAATTTTAGTCTAGCTGTACATTTTAAGAACTCAAAAAATACTGGGTTAAATTTTATTATACAAATTTTACTTTGGAAGATATTAACATTAAGAACTCACTGTGTGCTATGACTTTAATGTTCCACATTTAGTTCCCATAGTAATCTCACAATGAGAAAATAACTGTATTGAATACTGTTGCTTACCCACCCAACAGTTAATACCTTCTTCTTCCTCATGAACAGAATCCTGATTTTTCTCAGTAACTCAGGGCTTAATATATGGTGGTCTAGTCATTCCCTTTGCTAGTGAGTGGTTCAGGAGTGGGCCTGTGCTTCAGTACTGGTCATCAGGGGTAAGTGGAGGTCCGAGTGGGGATTCTGGAGCACATGTTATGCCCAATAAAAAGGAGTAAGTGAGAAAGAGAGTGAGAGAGGTCCCAGAAGAAGCACTTTACTGCCTGCCTTTCAGAAAAGTCATTTTTGGATGTGATATTTGGAGCTGGGCACCCATTTTGCGACTATGACGTAAGAGTCAAGAAAACTGTAAAAAAGCTGGCTTAGAACGCTAATATCACTGAAAGCCCCAAATCTCCTAGCTCCAGACTGCTTAGACTCAGGCGTTCTGTTTCTTGCATTCAAAACCATTTTAACTTATATAATGATAAATTCATTTGATAAGGAAGCAGAAGCTCTGAGAGAAAAATCCATCCGTTCCATGTTCCATGTACTGAAGTGACAGAATGGAGATTTGAATTTAGGTCTAATTAACTCTGAAATCCGTGCTTCTCAATGACAGTAGTTGTTATCTCAAATAACATTTAGAAGCAGGGTACGATGCCACGATACAGACGAGTAAACCTAGCTTTTGTCAGAAGCCAAACTGAAACCCAAATTAATAAATCTCTGTACGTGATATAAAAGCAAACTGTTCATAAAAGTACATATAACTTCCAAATATTCCTACATATGCAAATTTGTTTACACAATTTTCTTCAAAAATTACTAATTACTCACTAATTCAATAAAACTTATTAAATATAGATTGTACCTTATAATTTGCTCCATCAAACTCATCATTTTATTCTTTCAAGATTAAGAATTTCTCTTTTCCTGATGACTCTAAAAGCTCTAGAGATATTACTCCCTTTTAAGTACTTATGTGTTAATACTAAACCATATTTTCTAAGCATGTGTTTTCAGTTCTAGAAATGTGTTTTAAAAGCCCTTGAAATTTTCACATGTCCTCTTTCATCAGAGGATGGACAAACCAAATCCAGGCTTTATACAGAAGTTTCATAGTGGAAAAAGAAAGTAAGTTTCATAGTGGAACTGTGATTAATCATTTCTATTTTTAGTGAAATGTTTACTTACTGACAGTATGATTATTTTATATTCAACCTAATTATTTTAATTTTTGGACCAGAGGGCAGTATTAATTTGCATGGCTGAAATGACTGAATGTAAAAGAACAATTTAAAAATATACTGACAATACAATAAATATTCCCAGGGTATGTCATATGAACTAGATGTTGTTGTTAATTGCCACTGAATCAATTTTGACTCATGATGACCTCAAATATTACAGAGTGCTCCATGGGGCTTTCTTGGCTGTGATCTTAATAGATGCAGACTGCCAGTCCTTTTCTTCTGTGGCATGTTTGGGTGGGTTGGAACAGCCAACCTTTAGGTTAGCAGTTGAGTGTAAAAAGTTCATGTCACCGAGGGGCCTACATATGAACTAGAGATAGGATATTATTTGAATCCAACAGGAAACTCATTAATTCTTAAAACATTCTATTAAAATGAGAAAAAAAAAAAACTTATGTGACTTTTCTTATTAGTTAAAATACACACAAAACAATGTGCTATATATTCTACTTCAGCATAATCATGAAAACTGTACCCATCTGTTGTCTAAAAAAAGATCATTATTATTTCTTTTTAAAAAAGCTTTCAAATAACTATTACTATATTCTAGGTATATTCTTCATATACTTACTTCCTGATCCACTAAAGAAATATCTGGCCTCAACCCCTCACAGTAATGCATGTAACGGAGAGAATTCCCTGGCAAATCTCCTCTGAGTAAGATAATTGCATCATGAGGCATAGAGGCTAGAAGGTTCTTTGCAAAGTTATCGATCACGTAGTTGGTCCTTTGGTCACAAATGCTAAATAAAAGGATGAAAAAGCATTAAAACAACAACACTTTCTACAACTTTAATAATACCAGGTTCATTTACCACCCCATTCCTCTCCCATCACACTATCCATATCAAATATTTCAAAGTATTCTCATGTATTTCCTCTGATAGGATGTGTATATTTGAAAAGAGAACACTATCTTCTGAGAAAAAGAACTAACTGTGCAGTTTAAAAAATCAGTCGACAATTTCACTCATGGAATTTATCACCTTTTCCATAAAAAGGGAATCAGTTAGTGCTCAAGAAAAGTCTTCTTCCCCTCCAAAAATATATTAAGTTCATCTTAAAAAGTAAGGTCTCCTATGGCCCTAGCTGCCCTTCAGGTCTGGAACTAAACCTACACCTGTGGCTTCCAGCCAAACAAAAGACAGGATATGAGCTGAACATTTACCTGAGGTAGATACACTCCTTGGAGAGAACAATCATGGCAGAAAGAAGGGCTGTTTATGCACAGGGAGACAGTTCAGGGGGCAGGGGTAAATGGAGAGATGGACACAGGGAAGAAGTAACTATCGGGAGGAAGAAGAAGGGGAACTGTTGCATTGAGGTAAATTGTAGTCAATGTCATGAGATAAAGTGTATGTGAATTGCTGTATGTTGTTGTTGTTGTTGTTATGTGCTGTGGAGTTGGACCCAACTCACAGTGACCCCTGCTTGGGTTTCTGAGGCAGTATCACTACAAAGTAGATTGCCCAACTTTCCTTCTGAGGAATGGCTGGTGGGTTTGAACTACCAGCCTTCTGGTTAGCAATCAAGTGCCTTAGGGACTATGCTACCAGAACTGCTGTGTGGGAAGTGAATTTGCTCTGTAAACTTTCACCCAAATCACAATTAAAAAAAAAAAGTAAGGTTTCCACTTGGCGGGGGAATCTCTGTAGGAAATCCTGGATAGAGAGGGAGAACAATGTGGAACAAAACGCAAAATCATTAAAAAAAAAAAAAAGGACCAGCTTTGCTGGTCTGATAGACCCTGATGGAACCTCTGAGACTATGGCCCCAGCTGCCCTTCAGGTCTGGAATTGAACCCGCACCTCTGGTTTCCAGCCAAACAAAAGACAAACATATGAGCTGAACATTTACCTCAGGTAGATACACTCCTTGGAGAGATCAATCATGGGAGAATAGAAGGGCTGTGTGTGCACTGGGAGACATTGTGGGGCAGGAGTGCATGGGAGGGAAGGACACAGGGAAGACCTAACTATGGAGAGGAAATGGGAGGGGAGCTGTTGCACTGGGGTAAATTGTATCAATGTCATGAGAGAAAGTATATGTGAGCTGCTGTATGGGAAGTGAATTTGTTCTGTAAACTTTCACTCAAATCACAATAAAAATTTAAAAAAAAAAAAAGAAGAAAAGTAAGGTTTCTAATCACACTTGGAATTTAAAGTAATTTCATGTTACCATATTTTTTTCCTCAAATAACATGTCCATGTAGATAACACCCACACATAACATGGAAATTGGCACAGTGCACTTACAAAAATGTGAGGGTGGAGGAGGGGAGGTTGCATGGTTGGCAAAAAAAAACATATAATGTAAACTTTTTTGGCACAAAAATACAATAATTCCATTTATGCCAAAGGATTTTTCAGAAATCAAAATGGAATCAGCTGATTTCTGACATAAATTTTAAATTTCACTCTTTTATCCAAAGGTTGACCCTTTCCACCACTTTGTCCCATCAAGATCAGGGAATCACTAGGGAACGAGACCAGTGGGAAGAAAGGGAAGGAGCAGTTTGTTGAGTTGTTCACATCTTTAAAGCCATTATTTGCTGTTGCCCACAACGGAACACAACTCTTTTCAATAATGAGGTGAACTTGCTAGCTTCAAAGAAAACCTGGCACGAATTCTGAGAGCTCTCCATGAAAAAAGAAAAAGACTATGTAAGAGAGTAAAAGCATCAACAAATGGAACAAGCAATTTCCTTCCTGGTATTATCAGGTGCACTACATTTAATAGAGCTGAGACACAGAGGCTAAAGTTAAACCACTGGGTTAGTATCAGAAAGCAAACAAGTACTTCTAGGGAGAAGAGATATCATCCCTGTCTTTGTAAGCAGGGCAACAACTAGCGTTTCCCTCTATGACTCCCTGCTTTGCAGGATGATACCTCACGTTTTGCAACCCAGCAAAGATATATTTCTTCCTTTCCCTGGGGCAAATAAAAAAACTCCAAACAAACAAACAAACAAAACCAGCCTGTCCAAGCATTGCTGATATTGAACTTGAACTTCCCTGAAGACCTGAGTAGGAGACAAATGAGATGGGGGGGGGGGAGGCTAGAAAAAACACCGTGGGCCTGGTGACTCCTTTTTGAGCGAGCTGTGGGACATGCCGGGACCTACAACCCTTTCCCACAAGGCCTCCTGGTGATGCAGCCTCCCTAACACTGGCTCTACACTGGCATTATAAAGAACATTGGACTTTCAGTTGACTGTGCAAATTTAATCTTTTAAAAATAATATTGGCATTATTTTAAACTTGAAAGACCTCTCCTACTTCTGTAATGTTTACTCAATACTGCTGGAAATAAATGAACTTTCAACTGAGACTTGGACATCTTTCACATTAGATGGAGATTGTCATGGGCATGATTAAGAAAACACAATTTTAAAAATACATGGTTATTAACAATGCATAAGGGTTAAGAAACTTTGAGAACTTTATTTTAAAATTAATATTTACCACTACAGGGTGAACTGGATAAGAGCCAGGTATCATTCAAAAGATGAAATCACTGAAGCACACAGTGAATTACTTTAGACCATACAAAAAGCCCCAAGTGTCTTTACTTTCCATCAGAATGGTACTTTACATAATATTCCAGATTCCACAAAGTATCTCTAAGGTTCTTTAGAGGAAAATACACAACATGCACCATCCAAATTCATGCTTGTGGTGGCCAGAGACTACACATCACCTATATTGATATTCTGGTTCAGAAGGTATAGCAACCCCAAAAGTTTAATAATCATTGCATTCAGACCAAGCTGCCTCCCTTTGAGTCTTGAAAATCAGTGATAGTTAAAGATGAAATAGAGTCCTAGAGTCTAATTATTCAAATGTGCCTGGTCTGAGTGCTACTTTTCATAAAAATTACTATGTATTACCTGTAATTAGAATATATCTGATAAGTTACAAAAATCGTTGCTGAAAGCCATTCCAGACATTGAAGCCCAATGTTGTTGTTCAGGATTCGGTGACTCTCAGACACAAGTGCAGCCAAACCAATGCCAGCGAGCACGGCCACCACTGCATTGCTCTGCATCCAGAACCGTTCTACCTGCAAAACAGCATAGGCAAACACGGCGTCCAGGCGACCGGCTCCTGCACTCGTTCCTTATACGTTTAAGGAATATGCTTGTACACCTAGTTGATTACGCCTGCTGTTATTCAGGTCTTGTTAAGTAACTTCCCCAAGCTAACTCTATGTCACTTCATTTTTTAATTTCCAAACATTCCTCCGTCCCCTTGTGACATGAAAAGCTCCCATTTGGGATCCACACATTATATCAGTATTGCAGCCTTGCTCTGAGCTCCTAGAGTATATAGGGGGAGAGGGAACAGAGAAAGGCTTTTTGCTTTTGCTTTTTTCCTTCCATGTAGGAAGCCTCACTAGTGTCTACTGCTGGCCCCTCTCTGTCCTTGCACTTATTTCTTCCACTGGGAGTTCAGGATCTGATCTGACTAGGGAGTTTGGGGATGGAATGGGCATGCATATCCCTGCCCATTCCTCTCTCTTTCTCTGGGAGGTGAGCTACCCACAGGCAGCTCTTGTCCAGGGGCAGACTCCATGTCTGTGGCAGCAGTGGGGTGAGGGTGACTGCCTGTGATGAGTGCGTAAGTCTGTCAATTCTGGGATTTGGTAGGAGGAAGACCCCTTGCCCACAGATAAAAGGCATGTTCTCCAATCTCAGCATTATCTGTGGTAAAGGGGATGTGCACACCATTTGTGCTGATTTATAGTGTTTCTCAACTGATCCAGAACTCAGGTGATAAACCCAAACCAAACCCACTGCCATCAAGTCAATTCTGACTCACAGCAACCCTACAGGACAGAGCAGAACTGCCCCATAGGGTTTCCAAGATTGTAAATCTTTATGCAAGCAGATTGTCTCATCTTGCTCCAGTGGAGCTGCTGGTGGATTTGAACCACCAACTTTCTGGTTAGTAGCCAACTGCTTTAACCATTGTGCCAACAGCGCTCCTTCAAAAATGAGTTACCTAATTTACAGCTTTCTCTATAAAAAGAAATAATCCAATCTCAGAAATGGTACTTACTCACTGCCATTGAGTCAGATGGAACTCATAGCGACCCCTCCTTGGGTTTCCGAGGTGGTCTCACTAAGGAAATAGATTGCCCAATCTTCCTTCGAGGAGTGGCTAGTGGGCTTGAACTGCCAGCCTCTGGTTAGCAGTCAAATGCCTTAGGCACTATACCACCAGAGCTCCTCAGAAATGGTAGCCAGGGAAAAACAAAAATGTGTTTGATATTACGTTTAGGCCTGGAACTTGTGAGGTGAGCAATAAGGGAATAACATAGTAAGAGGCCCCAGTTAAAACCCATACTTCTTTTGTTAAAAAAAAAAAAATTCCAGGAGAAATGTGGTGGTATCTATACTTGCCAGCACACATATACACAAAGACTAAGTTAAATTTACTTTCCTTTCCTTTTTTCTCCCCTCTAAAAAAAGGTCTTAGCTTTACTGGTTCAAGAATTTTAACTTATGATTTATAATAACCTACATATAAGATTTTAACTATTCCAGGAATAATTTGCTCTTCTGCAAGATTCATGACAAACACATTTGTACCTTCTTCACAAAGGTACAGCTTTGGGGTCAAAAGCTACAGCTAAGGCAAACTTACCACACCCATGAAAAGTGGTTTCGCGAGATCTAAATTTGCCCTCCAAGCAAAAAACAATGAATAAATGCAAAGCATTCCAGTAAAAAGCCAGACTAACGAAGAATTCTGTCTGTGCCTACAAAAAAATAAAAATAAAAACATACCCCAAAATTATTTGTATGCATGAATATCAATAACATTACATAGCTTTAAACTACAGAAAAAATATTTGGATCCATGCAACTTTCCACCTTTAAGTAGGAACAGGCAAAGAGCTCAGTTTTAAAAACCAGAGTTAGAATGGAGAAATAAAACAGTAATGAACTACATATTACAGACAACTTGGAACCATGCCATAGAGAACATGAAATTAAAATTCAGAGAAGAAATAAAGCTATACTTAAGAAGTAATCAAACATGCAAAACAAAATAATATTTTCATGCATCGATATATAATAAAGACTTAAAAATGACAAATTTCAATGTTGGCAGGGATGCAGTTGTATGAGACTGCTAGTATACTCTCTGAGGAAAGTATTTTGAAAATATATGTCAAGAGCCTTAAAATATTCACATTTGTTGACCCAGTAATTTGACAGAGAGGAATAAATCTCAAAGAAATAATCAGATATGTAGATGAAGATTAATCCAGAGAGATACTTTAGTATTACTGATAATAGTGGAAAAAGTGGAAGCAATCTCAATATCCTTGAGTCAGCAATGTTTAAATAAATTCTGCTATGGTCATATGATAGAATATCACATAGACATTTAAGTGATCTTAAGTATTTTTTATAATGTAAGGATATGCTCGCTTATAATGTTAAGTGTTAAGGAAACAAAACCATAGATTGGGGGTGCCTATGTACACTTTACATACACTAATAAATACAAGCAAGCACTCAGATTAGAAAGTAAGTGAACAAAAAAGTTACTGGAGGTCAATAGTCCTATATCTTTTAGGTGTTCTTTTATCATCAGAGAAATTAAAAAACTTGTTTACTTCTTTTGTAAGGCAACAATAATAATCAGTTATTGGAAGGGTAAGGGGTCAAACAAGAAGTTTAAAACATCAAATGACTTGTTTAGATAGATTGTAATATACTGCTCAATTTCTCATCAAAATCATTGATTTATAATTGGGGTGGTGGCTAGTAGAAAAGCAAAACATACTTGTCTTGCTAGAAGTGAGCAGAAGAGTCACTTATGTGGAGTACAAACTAATGTTAGCAATGTTCCACTATGACATACTGAAAACCTTCATTCAATTCATGAACAGGACAAAAGGAGTGCGTTACTTACTTTCTTGTTAAACATATATTTGCCCAAACTGCAAGGGCTTGAATGTTGAATGAGAGCTCTGTCCTCATATTTGTTACCTGAGAACTGTAACAGACAACCTAATTTAGTGTTGGCAAAAGAAACATTTGGTTAATTCCAAGGAAAATAATCTTTGGGAATACATCCAATTATACACTGAACAACTTTAAGGGTGGTAGTCAGATTTTTAAATTATTTTGACTACTTTTAAATATAGGAGAAAAAGTACCATAAGAAAGAGTTCAACAGTTCTCTGGTAGATAGATGGGTGGACAGGCTGAACTATTACATATGTCTATGAAGCGGGGAGTATACCCAAGACCATGTATAGGGTTGGCAGACAATGGTCCCATAAGTGTATTTGTATAATCTGTAAGAATTCCCAGGTGTAAAGTGGAGCTGATAATGGACAAGGTTGTAGTCATTTCTTGGTCACAGCCAGCTACCCAGAGGGACCGAGTAGTTGAACCGGTGGGCTTGGAACCATAGTCACAGGGGACATCAAGCTCAATTGGCATAACATACTACACAAAGCATTGTTCCACCTCCTACTTTGGCAAGTAACAACTGGGATCTTAAAAGATGGCAAGCAGCCATCTAGATGCAACGATGGGTCTCTTCTCATCCAGAACAAAGAAGACTGAAGAGAATGAAAGATTCATGGAAACAATTAGTCCTCGCGACTGGTACACCATGCGATCTCTAGCCTATACGACTATAAGACCAGAAGAACTAGCTGGTGCCCGGCTACCACTGTCAACAACTCGGAGGGGGATCTATGTAGGAGATCCTAGGAGAGGGAGAACAATGTGGAACAAAACTCAAAAGTCATTTGGGAAAAAAAAGGGGGTACCAGGTTTGCTGGTGTAATAGAGCCTGGTGGAACTCCTGAGACTATGGCCCCTAGCAGCCCTTCATGTCTGGAACTGAACCTACCTGTGGCTTCCAGTCAAACAAAAGACAGGCATATGAGTTGAACATTTACCTGAGATAGATACACTCCTTGGAGAGATTGAACATGGGAGAAAGAAGGGCTGTTTATGCACAGGGAGACAGCTCAGGGGGCAGGAGTGCATGAAGGGATGGACACAGGGAAGAGGTAACTATCGGGAGGAAGTGAGAGGGGAGCTGTTGCACTGGGATAAATTGTAGTCAATGTCATGAGACAAAGT